CAAAAAAGAGAATGTTGATCGCAGAGAATTTACATAATTCTGAATTTCATCTGGAGTCATTGTCTTTCTTTCCTATGGGTCCCATTTCAAGCAAAGGCACCATTAAGCAAGTGAACTCTAACAAGATTACGGACTAAGAAACAAGAAAGACCAAAAATGAAATAGACAATACCCTGAAGAAGCACTCATACAGCATATAGAATTTTGCTTGGTAAATTAAATTAGCGGAATATCCATTGTCTGGTTGAGAACAATTCCATAATAACTATGCCATGAAATATTTAACATAAGAAATGCTTTATTACATTTATATCCGCTTACAAATCTTCAAGAAGGGCAATTAGCATAAGATTGACCTTGACTTCATTTTTCATTAACAAACAAGTGGTTAATGGGCTTTACAGATCATCACTCTTGAAGCATTTATAATTCAGCTTGCATCATGGGTAGGATTGATTTTGTTTTACTACAATTAAAATTTTGACTCTAACAAGTGTACCTTTCATTGTAACTGAAATATCTTGTTGGCCAATGAGTTGTTTCTCTGGTCATTTTACTTTATAACCTTTGTAGGTGCATATGTTATTGACTAGACACGGTCCTCAAACTCAGCGGAATTCATTCTCTGCTCAACAACGGTCACAATCAAATCTTGGACGCTCATCACAATGTTTTAGCATCCTTATTGAAGCTAAATCTCTATAAGTTCTGTAAATCACCTATCCAGCTGCCAAGAACCTACTAATGCATTTTTTGACTGTTTCAAAATAGACTGTTATTTTCTAAGCTCCCTAAAGGTAATCCTTTTGAAGCCATTCTTATTTAATGAAAACCATAGAACTCCCTTCAAGTAGTTCAAGCCTTGTGACATTTAAATATGCTGTAGGTGGAGAATCATCTTTAAACTCCATTATTGTGGACATTTTTCAAAGATATTGACAGGAGTTTAGGCCTCAGAAATATTATTCTAATCTCACGAATGAAGCTTATACACCTGTTCTCTATCTCTCTTTTCTTTTTCAATTCTGATTAAAAAAATAAATAAATAAACTGTTCAACATATACATCACATACTATCAAATCAATCTAAAACTAAAGATGATATTCACCTTTAAATCAGCACCAGCGCAGAACGCTTTGTGAACAGAACTGCAGATCATCAAAACCTTTGCTGAATGATCCTTATTAACAGCTTCTAAGCTTCGCTGCAACCCATGTAACATATCCTTACTTATTGCATTTTTTGCTCCAGGCCTATCCAAGTTAACTTCAACAACTCCTGTAAGCAAGAATATGCTTCGTCAGTATGCACAGTTGGTTACTGAGTTGACAGGACAAGTTTCATTCAAAACATATTTCTTGGTCCAGAAACCCCAAAAGAGCATATTAGTAAGTAACTATATTACAGTAAATTACAATTCACCATTTCTTGCAGAGCCCTAATAGACAGCCCAAACTCCAAACAGTCCAAATATAACTTTACCATATGAACTTTTAACAAACCATGATGAGTGACTTAAAAGTATGGGTGAATTATCCTAGTTAAGATTTTCCGATTGTCAGACTTCGGAGAGAATATCATTTCTTTTTAATATATCAGTTTAAGGGATAACGTGAAATCCTTCCTCTCCTTTCTTCACAATAAAAAGAATAAAGAGCAACCATCTTTCCTCAGTGTCCCAGTTTCAAGTTTAAATAGCTCCATCCAAAGCGAAACCTTTTTTTTATTTTTTTCTCTCACCCATTAGGCCATCTCTTTTCGCAAAAATTTTTTTTTTCTTTTCTTTTGTGTTGATCTGGTAGTTTGCATGCCAACTTATGTCATTCAGAAATTGGTGTGATGGCACTGGACGGTGAGGAATGTTTGTAATCAGATGGGCTCTCAATGAAAGGAAGACTGATTACTTATATCAAGATGAAGCAGAAGCTATAAAGCTGGCACTAATCAAGGCATTAGAAGCAGATAGGAGAAACAATATTACCGCAACGTCTCTTGGTAGCAAAGATCAATTCAAAAATTTGTCAGGATGGTTTCATAGTTGTCTTCCTAGAGGACCTCAAGATGGTAAGCTCCATGTTTCACAGGGGTCCTATTAGTTTGTCAACAGAGCTGATGATGCTCTTAGTATTCAAACTGCTAGATATACATCAGAGATTAACCGGTAAATTCAATGGTTCGGGTTAATCCCACTGTGATTAACACAGGCTGTAGAGTAATCTTTGGGCACTTCTCAATATACTGTAAGGCTTTTGTTAACTCTTCTCTGTATTTTAATACGAGTAGACGTTCTAACAAAAAAGGAAAAAAAAAACAAAATGCTGCTAATCCCTCCCTTACTCATGGAGCCTGTAGCAGGCATATGACCCATGACAATAAAGTAAACAAATAATTCAAAAAAAAAAAGAAACAATACGGATTAAAACAATTAAATTAAAGAAACTGAATATTACATCCAATGGGCAAAAGGGCTTTGAAAAATGATGAACTCAGAGACAAAGATCGTATTTTTACCATACTGATGGCTAAAAGCGTACAAGGAAAATGGAGTTACCGGAATCGGAGTCATCGAGTTTGTGAAGCTTGACGGAATCAGAAGTAGACTGCAAAATCAGGGTTCGAACACTCTGGCGATTCCATTCTTCGTGTGGATTTATATTGAATTTCTTGAGGTGAAAAAGCAGTTGTTGAGAAGATGAAATGGGCTTCGGTTTTTGCTTCAGCCATTGCTGGCCTGCTGATTTTGCTACAGCAGGTAAAAAAACCATTGCTGGCTTTTCCCTATCTTTCTTTTCTGTTCCTTTTAAGGATTTGTGGAGCCGATCATTTGCTTCAACCGCACCCTTTTTCTTTTCTTTTCTTTATTTTCATGTCATGCCAAGTCACTAATTTGATCGCGACAACAGGCAACGAAGTTTGTTTGACAAAAGAGGATGAGACTTTTTTTGTTTTCCAATGAACAACTTGGGATTTCAGCTTAACAACTTAACAAATCAAAGCGCTTGTTAATTGAATTATGCTTGCCTCAGTACTAACACCTGTATGTTAAACTAGTCAAGAATATGTTGAAAGTACAGGTTCCTGTGATGATCATTGGTATGCTTCCCACGCCGTTGTTCAACTAGAACAAAAAAGCAAACATTCAATAATGAAAATTAGACAATAATTGCAACTCTCAAACATAAATTGTAGTTAGTTTTTTTTTTTTTCATCTCAATTACCCATATTTACACAACTAGTCAAAACATAATTTACACTAATTATTCACTAAAAAAATGTTGAAAATTATTAGCTATTCAAATCGTGTTCGAATTATAATTGTAAGTTACAAAATATTTTGTAATTGAAAACTCTTAATTTCATATAATACAGTCTTAGTCGAAGATAATCATTCAAACACCACCAATAAATTTCAAAACCCTTTACTAATTTGATCTCCATGTAACGTACACCATTAATGGAAAATTTTTCTATTTGATCAAAATACTCCAAAAATCCCTCACTTATTTTAATAAAATGAAATAGTATAGTATAAATTTTATACCATGCACAATAAAGGTCCAAGACATTGCAACCTAGGTTTAGTAGTGTTGTTATAATTTCAAATACCAGATTCAATAGTGAATTTTGATCTTGAACCATAGCCCTTTTTGAAATACTAAATATTACCTTACACATATAATAGTCTAGTTGCAGCATGCATTGGTATTATATGGTCTTGTACTCTTTTTCTTCTTTCCTTCTTTTTTTTTTTTTTTTGAGTATATAAGAGAATAAACAAGTCTTATTTAATGCCCCAACTCCATTTTGGACTAATGAAGGCCTTCATGGAGCCCTCTGAAAAACAGAAGCAAAGCTGAAGATTTTGGACGCACGGAGACTCATGTGCAACTGTGCAGGCAAAGACTTATTTCTTTAGTTTCTGAAGGTCTGAGTATTTTCAAAAACTCAAAACGATTATCACACAAGATGAAATATTCCCTGTGAAATTTCATACACCATAGAGTTTGAAGGACATTTCTTTAAAATCCATATACTCGCAGTCACAAGCATTGAATAGGCTAGATGTTAGAGTACCATGTACGTGGTGATTATTCTCCAAGATATTTCTTTTTGATTCTTGCTTAATTAAGCTTCTAAACACTACGAGCGTGATTGATAAAATTGATGTTTGAAAACTAAAATCGTGAAATTTGAAGATTGAATCCGTTAAATTACTAAATTGTTAAATACTAAATCTAATATATTTGAATATATATTACACTAAGTAATAAGTGAATAGTTTATCACATATTTTGTCTACAAAATTTAGTACCACTCAATTAATTCTTAACTAATTCAGATGTTCTATTTGTTATCAAATACACGTGAACATATTAAAATCTAAACTCATTAAATTTAAATGCTGAATTGGATTATCGGACAAGGTTCATGTCGAGCATTATTTCCATTCTTGTTTGTGAAAATTCTAACAGTTAATTCTCCCCATCCAACTTTATTCCAAATACCGTAATATTCAATAAAAATATTTCCTTTGTCAATATCCTCTCCTTGAAAGGGAACCCATTAATATAACTAATTTGTGCCAACTTTATTGGACAAAATGCACATTTATATTTCCAGATTGCATCAACATACTTTACCAAGTTAAATCAAGTTTTCCACCAAAAAAAAGGGCTCTCTTAAGCAAGTGCTTTTTGGAAAACCTATAATTATAGAGGTTTTCTAACATGTGCCAGGTAAAAATTTGTTAGTATACCTAAATCACACCTAATTTATCATATTAATACACATAATCACAATCATTGTATCCCTACAGTTAAGACATTTTCCCAAATTAATGACACTATTCCCAAAAACTAATGCCTAAGAACCTTCTTAAGGGGCACTCGTTAGCCAAACATACAATGCATGTATATGGAGCTGATATTTTGCAGTCTCATTTGTTATGGCACTCTATCCGTAACTGTTTTTAGATCATGTCAAAGGACAGTTCTGATATTTGAAGGCTCAAGACATGAGATCTTGAGTTTTTCGATCTACATGCATTTTCTAGCTTGCAAATGCGCAGTTTCGGTGTAAGCAGAAGACAATTCTTCTAATTGGTACATTATTTTCAAACGCCTGAGTAGCTATTACTTCAGCATCTTAGAACATATAGTAGTCTACAGGTTGTTGCCTTTTGCCTTTCTGAGGATGTCTAGATAACGGAATTGCAGCAATCCATTCCTCTTTTGAGGATGTCTAGACAAGTTTAGACCCGACGAACCCATTGTTCAAGTCTGAGCTGCTTCAAAGGAGGGCCTAAGTTGGGTTTACTCTTTTGAGGACACCTCCATTTTCCAGTAACTTCCAACAGATTAGGAGCTTGGAAATTGGTTGTGTCCAAGAGAATCTTTCTTGTTGCTGTAGCCTCCTTGTTGCCTCTTGGTGGAACTGTGGCTCCATTCCTAGAAGAATAAGACTCACCTGCAAGTGGCCCTTTGCAAGAATTCTCTCCATCACCTACCTTGCTCCTCCTCATCGAAATGAACCCATTTTCTGCAAACCCTGTCCTGGCATTCTCTTTATTCTCTTGTCCACCAGGAGCCTCGTTTTCTGGTTTTTGGTTTACCAGGTACTCCAAGTTTTCTGTAGGTGGTCTAGTCGTAGCAACTATGGTAAAATGTTCAGGCTTATCGCTCTCTTCTATTGGAACCCTGCTCTGAATTGCCTTATGAGGCGAGTTCCCCATCTTGCTACCTGGCCCACTTTTGATATTCAACATCATATGACTATGCTCCGCATTGAACTTAGCATTTAAAGCATCAATAGGGCTTTTTCCATTTTGGATTGATAGTTCAAAACCTTCCGCTAAACCTTTACCGTGGTCAATCATCTGTTTCAAGGGCAGAATTTGACATGAACGCCTTTGAGGAGTCAAGTCATTTAGTATAGCTGAGTTTTTCTCTCCATCAGCCTTTAGTATATCCTGTAAATGAGAAGCAAAGGATAGTTCACTGATACTTGTTACTGCTTTCGCCGCATACAAGCTTCTTAAGCATGTGAAAATCTGAGGTGTCTTTAAATTATTTGACTCCTAACACAATGCCAGATTATGTAACAAAAGCAACAACAAATTCCCTTCAATAAAAGAAAAAAAGAAAAAAAGAGTCAGAGTACCTTAGAGAGATTGTTTTGAACCATTCTTTTCCACGACCAAGAATGTTATGGTGCAATAAGTGCTAAAAGCAAATCTTGGTGCTGCTAATGACTGTGATGTCATTTATACCAGCCACAGATAAAATGGTAATCAAAGAGACAAATGTCAAATTCATCCTCTAGAAGTGTCATAGGTTTGAAGCCAAATAATCACTGACAAAATATCTCCTTTCTCTTAGACATGTCAAAGCCAGAATGGGAGAAATTCAAACTCAAAACCCAGACTGCAGCAGGGGTAGCAATTGCAGTATTCAGAGTTGAACGATGCAAATCAGTTAATACAACTCAGAAATTAGGTGTTTCATGATCTGTTGTTACAAGGTTATAGGTTGAACGCAAGTAGTTAAATGGAACTTGTATAAGCTATCAGCCTTTGGTCATGTACGTGTAAAAAAGAAAAACTTGAGTTTATATTCTTGAAAACTTGCTTGTCAATTTCAAGCATCATTTCCCAAGGACATAAATCTGGTCGATCCAGAACAGCTTTTAGCAGAAAATAAGAATCAAGAATACCTTAGGGAAGGAGTGGTGCTCATACTCCTTTTTTCTGCCAGAGTTGGTACATTTGACAAGCCCAAAAGAAGTTTTCTGACCTTCCAAATCATTCTTTTGAACTGCCTTAGTTGCCCTAATCAATTTGTCTTCTTTCCCTGTGATACATTCTTCATCAAACACATTTCCAGGAGGCTGTGAACTGAACTCGTAGCTGGTATTAATTGCTGGAGATTCGTATTCATAACTAGAGAACCAATTCCTAACATCTGGAGGCACTGATATCAACACAAAGAAATACGAAGTCAAGGATTGTCCAGATATTGTTAATAGTTTTATGGGTTCAGACTTTTGAAACCGATGCATACACAAACCAAGAATCCAAATATTCAAGTTTTCCATGATGTAAGAAGACAACACCGAGCATTTCTTTATAAAGATAAAGTAACTGGACTGGTCATGCATACCCGAAGAAAGTGAGAGGGAATCTGAATCTTTCAAAACCTACAAGACAAAATATTGAAATTCAACTAGCACATAAATATTCATCTCTCTGCTAAAGATAACAACCCAAAAATTTCACTGCATCTTAATTTAGATATGAATGAAAAGACAGCAGTTTGAATTGGACAAATAAAGAGGGAATCAAACCTTTTAATTTGAGATCTCAGCTCATAGACTTGGGCAGTTTTACGTTTTTAATGCTTGCCAAACATTAGTCACAGAGTTCATTCCACGAACTTGTCAGATGAAACAGATTTGTAGATTATGGAATGAAAGGCCTTCTTTACAAGGACACCATTTTTACATTCCTAATTGACAGCAAGCAAGGTAATAAAATCAAGTCCTCACAATAAACTACCTACATCTGACACCCAAAAAGTTTGAATCACAAAGATACCAGTGCACAGAGAAGAAAACTGAAATAATCAGTTCAATCTCAGTGGAGTTTTATGTCTCCCTGAACGATCATCTTGACCGGTCAATTAACAGATATCATTAGCATAACTGATTTGCAATTGAGGCAAACTGTTGTTACAGTGTCTCAGACTGGTAATCTGGATGAGCCTATGTAACTGATGCTTGTCAGGAACATCAATTTGGCGATTGGCTTATTAATGCCGATTACCTCTAAAGAAAGGATTTTGGTTGACCCTCTTGATTTTTGGTGTGGATGATTAATGGAGATTTTCAGATCACCGGCCATTCAGAGACTTTCCCACTGTTCCATGGTGGATAAAGTCATGACCAGCTGCAGTATTTTGCACAAGGAACTATGCTACCATCTCTTAACACCATCAGTTAGTTGCATTCCATATATGACAAAGATCACCATTTTTCTGCTCATTTTCTTACATTATTTCATTCTTTCATAATTCCACTGTAAAAAATTAAATTTGCAGTGGCCCATTCAGCAAATTAAATGCTTTGAGCCACCCATACGATGAATCCTAGTGAATATCAATTCAAATGTACCTCCTTGGTCACTAATAATTAGAGCCAATAACCACACTACATTGACATAATTCCTATCTGTAAGATGATTATAATGATGTAATCGTGAACGACCACAATACCAATTATCTCTTTATACTTTATAAAACGTCCTATCAATTAATCAACATTCTTTGCAATTGAAGTAGAGAGAAGAGGAGGATATAATGACCTCAATGTTCCGGTTGTCAATTCTAGCAATGCTATTAGACTGGAGAAAGCCATCTGAAGTATCCTTCCCATCAGCAAGCAAAACATCATGCCTTTTTTTGAGTACACCGTTTTCATCAAAATTCCCTTCCTTTTCCTCTTCGTTCTCCCCAGTTTCAGCTAATATGGGACGACCAGAATCTTTAAAATCATCGATACTATTCAATTCTGGAGACTCGTATACATAACTTGGGAACCACTTGGCTATATATGGAGGCTCTATATGAACAAAAATCAAAATCCCAGTAAAACTTTTGAAACTCAAAACACGAAACTATAGGAAAACGATTAAAAAAGAAAAGAAAAGAAATGATTGCCAAGGCAGTTTCCCAATAAACGAACCTGCTTTTATGATTTCCTTAACATCACACAGGCAAAAAGAGAAACGTCTTATGGACAATGCAAGAAGCTCAAAGATTTGCAAAATAAGAATGAGAAATTGAAGATTATTTCAGAGATCAAACAAACCTGAAGGAAGCGATAAGGAATCTGAAGAACCCATTATCCAAAACGATGAAATGCAGCACTAGAGGGGGCAAAGATCGTAACTTTATGTGTATTTTATTCTGCTCCAACATCTTGATTTCTCATGTTAGAGCCGATAGATGGCGCGAATAGGGAAAAGTTTTCAAATTTCCCGGGCCATAAGGTGGTCCCGTGGCCAAAATCAGATTTCTTCAGGCTAATTACATTGACCACCTCTGGTGTTTCTCATAATTAGGGAAGAAGCCCATATGAGGTTTTTGAATTTACCGAAACCACCCTTATCAGCATTTTTGTACTATTTTGTGTACTACTTTTACCTTTTATTTAGTACCTACCTATTTTCACAGGAGTAGGGGTGGCAATAGGGCAGGGGTGGGGCGGGGGACATCTCCCCCAACCCCCGGCCCGTTGCATTTTAATTCCCCCCGCCCCCATCCCATTCCCTGCCCTCGGCTTCCCTCGCCCCGCTTCTCCCGTGGGGGCACCCGCGGGGGAAGTACAAAAATTAAATTACATTAAATTTTATTATATAATTTTATTATAATTAAATTTGAGCAAATAATCAAGTATTAAAATATTAACACATCACCAAATTATTATTCATTATAACTTCACTATTGAAACTCATAAAATAATTAAACAAAGGTTATTTGAATGCAATCTAATGTGATAAAACAAATATAACTAAAATAATTAAGTTTTCACTTTTGATACAAATACAATCACTAAATTATTATTATATTTTTTTTAGAAAAAGTGTTATTGTATTAAGTGTAGTTAGGAATTTAACATAAATGTATTAATAAATTTAGTATAAATAATTAATAATTTTTATTAATAGGCATGTATAATTAGTAGTATAATTAAAAATATCATTATATATATAATTATGTACATATATATATATAGTTTTTTAAATGGGTGGTGGGCCCCCCGCCCAGTTTCTAAACGGGGGAAAAAAATTCCCCCCGCCCCAACCCCCGCCCCAATGACCCCCACGGGCACCCGCTCCCGTTGCCATCCCTATACAGGAGTGTGATATTCTTCCCCAATTAGGAAATTGTACATATGAATGTGTTATTGATCTATTTTGTAGGTGCGGTTCAAAACTTAAGTGATAAGAGTTATAATTGTAGATTTTGGAGTATTGAATATGTGTCCATAATTTGAAATTGAAATATTTTTTTAGCTCAGATTGTTGTGTAAGTGAGGTCTTGTGTAACATGACATGAAAGTATGAATGTAGAATTCAAAGTCCATGTTTCTCATTGAAGATATTAAAAACAAAAGCAAAACAAGGGCACACTATTTTTGTAACACTAATTGGTCAAGATAACATACTTTTTAGGTAAATTGTAGTGACTCTCTACTATGGTTAATATATTCACAATTAGATGACTAGTTTTGGTTTGTAGTTACTTAATTTTCATCAATATTTATTAAACTTATTTTCATTGTAGACTTTAGTAACATGACCAAAGAAAGAGTCGTGACGTTTCTTTTTTTATTTTAATTTTTCAGTAGGGAATGAATGGGATTTAAAAAGCGAATTGGCAGTAAGGAATTAGTCACGATGTTTCTTTCTTTCATTTTTAGTTAATTAATTATTTATTTATTTTTGGATTAAGAGTCCTATGTTTATGCAAATGAATACCAAGGTTCAATATTTATACCTATGTTTTGGATTAAAGGGTCCTATGTTTATACCAATGATCCAAGATCTTTTAATTGTAATCCCTTCCATCTTACCACCTAATCCAATTCTCTCCCTACCAAGATTCAAATTTTTTTTTTTTTTTAGGTTCAATGTAATATATCCTTACATAGAATTAAGTAATTTTTCTCAACCTTTCTTATCTTTACAATCGATTAATTGTATCCGTAAGAAATTGCTTCCATGTATTCCAAAATTCGCACCATTTGTAGTCTACGGTTAGACCCCATCTTTTAATTATAACTTTTCATTTGCCGCTGGTCCGGACTGATTCCTTCTAATTATCTGCATCAGGGACTTCTCAAGAAGTTAGTCTAGGTACCTTGAAATCGTTCATGTCACTTGGCAAATTAAAGCGTCTGAAGCTTCCTAGAAAATCTAGAAATTTTCTTAATCTTGCTATAAGATAAAGCTGCTTATTGTAAAAGATCTCCCCAAATAAACCAAAAAGTGGGCTTCTCGCGTATTCAATGTGCATGATTTGCAAAATTCGTGTACATTTAAGATAAAACATCACGTGTAGCCATATCAAAGTTTTAAAGATGAAAGAGTTTCAACAGTTTTACACTACCAAGTCGACAGTGTTATCTGCTTAGTACTCGGATACTATAGAGCTGTTTTTCTTGGAATATTCCCTTTTATTATGCTTACTTGACAGAAATGGCCCAGGTGGCATATTTTCAACTTTAGCAATATACTGAGTTTTACCTCATTTGATGGTAAAATAGGATTCATACACGTGAAATTTTGTTTGTGGTAATTAATACTTCAATAATGCGCTCATATGGAGTGAAAAACAAGCAAATCTTTTACTGTCTGTTCTATTCAAGATGATGCAAATCACCTATAATCATCAACTTGAAAGTTGTAAGCGGTGATCTTGTTCTTTTGCATTAGGATGATCAGTATAGTCCAATAATTCTAAAATAGTTTAACTAAAAGGGCATTCTTGACAACTCGTTCAGGATTTTCCCCGTTTCATATAGAAAAAGTTCATGTAAAATCCACCTTCCAATCAGTACTTCATGCAATGAGGCAACTGTACTATATTGAAAGTGATGAGGAGATGCCCTATTCCATTTTAGACAAGATAATGAGCATGATACACTTTTCTCTTGAATAATTTGTTATTCACCTTATCTTACAATAACATCTTAAGGGCCATGTTTAAGTGGAAGTTCATTGTACAAATTACTCAGCAGTAATAGCACAGGCAACACTGTAAAATTCTACAAATGGACCTCAACAGAAGCATCTTTGAAGTTTGAACCTACTGCAACTTCTAAACGATCAAACTCTATCTGTAGTAAAATGCCCTTTCAATGTAGTATGAAAAGCTAGTTGTCTTTATTCCTCTTTTGTCTTCAGTTACTACTCTGAAATTTCCGTTGACAACACAAAGTTTTAATGAGGCGAGTGAATAGAATCCATACCACTATAGCAAGAAAATCAAAATGATTTTCCTTGACATAAGGATTCAAATGATACCTTATAAGCCTGCAGAAATCTGTACTTACATGGCTTTTGCTTCAATCTTTATGTCATTTGTTTCTCATAACTTTCCAGTATTCCTTAAACCCAAAATTCTAGCACAAATTTGGTGTTTCTTTGGAGTTCTTTATGGTTTGAATGGCTGGAAAATCGCATAGAAGGAAGAAGCAAAGCAGCAATTCATCAAGTTCATGTAGCTCAGACAATGCTGAGGATCCTGATTACACTGCAAGGTGGGCTCAAAGGCTGTCCAGAAAAGAAAAGTTCACTTCCTTAAGTGGATGGCAGAGACACAGCAGTTGTGACATTAACGGTCTTCAATTCACAGCTGGAACTTCAACAATGAGAGGAAAACCAACACGTTCATCGAAGAAGAAAGACATCAAGCAAGGGGAGGTGAAACCGATCAAAACATCCAGAATGGCACAAGCAAGGAAGGAGCCTGGTTGTTTGAAGATTGAAAGAATCAACTTTGGAATCAAGAGAAGCTCCACTTCTAGATGGAATAGGAAAATTAAAGATGAATTTGACCAAGAAAACAAATTCTCCACAGACAGAAGTGGTAGAAGTTCAGAAAATGAGAATGACCATGAGAATCAAGGGTATTCTGCTAGCAGAATAAGAAATCAAGAGGATGAGAATGAGAAGTGGAAGATGAAAGCAACCATATTTTCGTGGCTTATAGATTCCAAAACAATTGAAGAAAATGCAGAAGTTTTCTATATGGATGACCACAGCAAGAAGATCATTAAGGAGGGAATAATCAGGAGAGAGGGCATATTATGCAACTGTTGCGATAAGATCTTTACTGTAGCAAACTTTAGTATTCATTGTGGGAGGCAATCTGCTAAACCCTATGAAAGGATTTTCACTTCCAAGAATCAAAACTCTCTTTTATCTTGCATGATTAGAGCTTGGAATATGCCAGAAGAATGTGAAAGTCGTAAATTCAATCGCATTCAGACTAGAGGTAATGCAAGTGACTCGTACGATGATGCTTGCATGATCTGTGCAGATGGAGGAAACTTAATGTGTTGTGAGGTGTGTAATTCAACATACCATCAAGATTGCATTCAGTTGAAGGTAAGACTGATGTTACCACAATTTCAGTTGATACTCTAATTAGTGACCTTAAGAAAATTAGGTAAATGTTACTTGTTCTAATCTCGGTTCAGGAGGTTCCTCGAGGATCTTGGTATTGTCCATACTGTGTTTGCAGATTCTGCAGAAATCCGGCTCACGACAATGACTATTTAATTGAATGTCCTCAATGTGAACAGAAATGTGCGTAACACGTTAATCTTCCTAAATTTTCATGCACCTATGTCATTCATTGCTATTATTTATTCTTTTCTTTCTCTAGTGAGAACTTGTTATTAAGATGTTAAGGCATAAATATAAGCTTTGTCTGTTCTACAGATCACTGGAACTGCCATCTGCGGAGAGAAATGAAGATAATAGATCTCAACAGTCTGCCATGTGCACCTTTTTGCGAGGGGCGCTGCAAAGAGGTAATCTTAATGAAGCATGATTAACAATCTTCTCTTGACTCTAGCTTGAAGAACTGGATTTTCTTCATGATTAGTTCTGACTTATCAGTTCATTAAGCACTAAATACAAATTTTCTGGAAAGGTTTATGATAAGTTGGAGAGACACCTAGTTGGATTGAAAAATGAGCTTGATGAAGGTTTCTCCTGGAGTTTGCTTCATCACATGGACAATGACAGAGGTAGTTACACAGATGACACATACAAAAGAATCGTTTGCCACTCCAAGCTTGCTGTTGCACTGAGATTGATGGAGGACTGCTTTGAGCCAATTGTAGACCGCCATACTAGAATCAATGTGATTCGTAGTGTTGTTTATAATTGCGGGTAGGTTTATTGTGCAATCACTATCATATGTCTCTAGTTCCCTCCCTACACAAAAAATTCCTCAAGTTTTTCTAGAAGAATAATAAATGGACGAATCCTTTCCTCTGATGCAGATGATGAAATTCATCTTACTTTTGATCTTTCTTTGCCCATCAACAGATGTAAATTTATCATTTTCTGTGTCTTATTTTGTTTTCACGACTACCAAAAGTGAACATTTTGTTTCTTTGTAATAACTTTTTTACAGAGCAAACTTCAAGAGAATCCAATTTAGGGGGTTTTATACTGCCCTCTTGGAAAAGGATGATGAAATTATCTCTGTGGCATCCTTGAGGTTTCTCCTCTTACATCTTCACGTGCGCATCGATTTCAGTTTAAGTATCTCATTAACCTTCACCCGCAGGATTCATGGGACAAAGCTTGCTGAGATGCCTTTCATTGCAACCAGCGATCAGTATAGGTGCAAAGGAATGTGCAAAAAGCTTATGGTCGCAATTGAATCAGTTAAGTCCACATTTGAATCTTTACGAATATTATTTATAGTTCACTAGTGGTTTTCATGGAGATTTTTTTGCTCTGCTGTATTTGATTTCCTTTCTATTTCTCTTCTAGTTACCATAATCCATATAGTTCTTCAAAAAAGTTCTCAAACTGATTTCACTTTCAGGCTCTTTGTTACCTCAATGTTGAAAGTCTGGTCATTCCATCCACATCTGAGAGGATCAGCAACTGGATTGAAAAGTACGGTTTCCGTCTTCTTGATTCTACATTGAACAGAGAAATCATATGTCGCAACACATTGATGTTCCATGATTCAGTCAGATTGCAGAAGTCATTAGTACCTTCTTGTTTGGCAAAATCAGACAGAAGCAGTGGTGGTATGGTGTTTTAACACTTCTTTTTTGGTTTTTTTAATTCTCGCCCAAGCGTAGCTTTTGCCACCATCGAAAATCATCTGTTCTTGTGCTCCTAAGTCTATGTCTGTATAATTCTCAAAGCAAATTTGTTTGTTTTGTTTGCAGCAACTTCTTCACTGAGAAAGGCCAGGATCAACCAACAACAACATTGGCTAAGTTTTTCACATAAAGCAGCTATGGCATCGTTATTTGATTTAGATTTTCAACCTCCTGAATGGAACAAAAACCCTTGGATGAACAGCAGAGAAAGAATGCCCTACAGATAGAAATCCATGCATTCAGCGAAATGATTTTTATCATGTATGCTGGTGGTGTAGGAGTTTCTGTACTGGGACTGCATTTTCTATTACAGCTTTTGGCAACCTATAGTGAATATAGTGGATGAGAAAGGATAGGATCAGAAGAATCAAAAGATTGCAATACAATTTCTTAACTAAGAATGTTGTGGTCAACTTTTTTAAGCTTCATTAGCAGATTGTTGAAGTTTGTAAATTTTGTTCTTATTTGTATGAAGTGATTTCTGAAACTTTATGACCGTTCTTTCTTTTCAAATTCTAATTTGCATATCAGTATCATGATCACACACAGATTTTTTTTTATTTTTTTATTTTTCACTTTCAGATTATGACTGAAGCAGCCATGGCTCTTATATTTTAATCCCCATTTTCCAGGTAATGCATTCAAGATTCATACCAGTGCTAACAGGTTATTTCCATCTTCAAGACTCAAAATTCCAATGTCAGAAAATTACAGCGCCACCTTTCAAGAATTCCATTCTCGTTTGGGTCTGCTGTTGGACGATTCTCAGTTTGGGCTTTACTCCGTCTTGGTTCCTTGGATCATGGCAATTGGCCCTTTTCTTTAACATTTTTTCTTGATGAAATGCCATATTAAAAACAGCTTATAAACTCTGACTCCAACTTCTAATGGCTAAATATCATGGCAACTAATCATTGTTCCGTCAATGTTAGCATTTGAATTAAGTAACTTTAAGGCTTTAGGCAAATTTATATGCAACTTATCACATCATGCAGAGGAAAACACAAAACTTCGAGAATTCTCTCCCGGCATAGTCTGCAATACCATTCTTAAAAGTAATTCTAGAGCGTTTACAATACAAATTTAGCAAATGTGCCATCCATATTTACGAACACTCATACATAGTTGGATTAAAACTTCTCATATTTTCCCCCTGACACATTTTTTATTTCATCCCATGATGACGGTCTTAAGAAGAAATCACCATAGAAATGATCCGTGAACAATCACAATTAACAATTTAGGCAAATGCTCAGTTATCGTAAGGTCCAATCCTTCTTGGTCTATTCAAGAGTCATGCCGTGACTAAGTAAACAACACGGGAAAAAAAAAAAGATCAATTTTCTGAAATGGTACGCTCCTCATGGATTAGGCATTCAGGAATCATGATGACTAATTTTACAACTAGGTCACTCCAAAGAAAATGGTGTTACCACTGGAAGGGCCAGCTCTTATCCTCTTCGTTTGTCCCACGGAAATGAAAGTCCGTGCGATTTGAAGCCACTCTTGCCTTGCAAACTCCGAACAGCCGCTGAAGTCAGAAAGACTTTTGTGACGAGGTTGAGAATCACACTAGGTGACTTTAAGACATGGGACGTTATCGGTTCCTTCTATTCCAATTGGGACAATTTTAGAAACCTTCCCTGAGGTTTCTGACAATTACGACCACCTTGCTTAAGATTTGAAAACTTATACTCGCCTCTCTTAATGCTATTGCTTAAGATTTGAAAACTTATACTCACCTCTCTTAATGCTACGAAAAGACTATATGATAAGTTTTACAAACTTTACAAAATTTTAATTGAAAATGAGTTTAAAAGAGAAAAATGAAAATTCTTTTATGGTAAAACTTCTTTATCCCAAAACTCTAGCATCCATCATCTAATCTAATCTAGTACGTTACACTAGATTAGGGAGGCATTTGTTAAACTAGCTAGTGTCTTCAGAAATTACTTAACAAAAAATATGTCCAAATTATCGGAGAAGAATGCTTTCAAAACATAACTTAAGTTTTCCTGCAAAAAAGCTAGCTTGAAATTTTTACCTGGTGAGGAATGATGATGGTTGAATTTTTAGCGTATGATTTGTTTTTACATATCAGAAAGGGGTAATATTGGATGCTCAATGGATTTTTTTTTTTTTTTTTTTGCCTGCATCATTAATTATGATCAAGACATACTTCTTAGGGGAGGTTTCCATAATTTTTCAAATTTCAGCAGAGATAGCTGCAATTGTCAAGAACCTCCTCAGGAGAGGTGTCTGAATTAATTATCCCATTCCAACTTGAGTAAGTTGGTTGTCCATCAAGGCTGTTTATCACGCTTTTGAGGTAATCTCTCTCTTTCAGTCTCCAAAACGTGCAACACTACAGAAACAAGAGAAGCAAGCACAGAAGCTGTGAAATTGCCAAATTCAACAAAAGAAATGATCTCAATGTGCAATACAATACTTACCGGTCAATTTGTCCTATGAAACACTAGCAGTCATTTCAAATGAAAAAAAGTAACGAAAAGGAAAAGATAAAAACATCCTCTAAAGTTATCAAATAATCAAATTTCACTTCTAAACTTGTTTATCCATCAAAACTTATTTTCAACATGTTTGAAAATGGATGGTTAGGTAAGCTACCACTACATTCTTCTCATATCCATATTTTACCCGTTTTCCATATTTCACAGATTTTGTCATTTCTTACAGTTACCAATTTCAGAAGAACTACTCTTGTGTGTATCAATGGAAAAATTCAATCTCAAGAGGGCGGTGTATCCTTTTGCATTCAAAACTGATATCTCCTCCTCATTTATCCAAATATCAATGCAAAATAAAATACTCAAGTCTTGATCAATAGAATACTGAAAGGATCACTTTCCACTTGGTTCGGCACTCATATAAGACACAACTTGCAATTTAAAGCAAACCAGCGGATAAGAATCTATGCTATTGGACGTTGGATGAATCATTGCTCTATCAAATAAGTTAAACGATTAGCGGTACGATATTCAGCAAAATTAGACCCTTTTGCAAAAGTTGAATTATATCACATTCCACAATTGGATTAGTACTATTTCCAAATCCAGTAATATTCTTCAAGCAAAAGTGACAAGCACGTAACAGTTATGAAAGAATAATGGTGGTGGAGGCCGTCGTGTGGATGTTTTCAAGTAAGAAATGGAGGAGTTTCATACTTTCCTTTCTTGAAATATTTGCAATTTATAGACGTAGACATTATTGTAAAGGGATAATTTCAGAAACCTCCCTTGAGATTTTTAACAATTTCACTTAGTTTCCTTGAGGTTTTAAAAATTACACATACCTCCCTTGAATTTACCATTTTGGTGACAAAAACTATTCAATGGTCAAAATTTTGAATGAATAACCCAAATTGCCCTCGTGAAATTGTAAAGTTCATTTTACCTTGTTATAAAATTCGATAAAAAAAATATGGAATATGCACAAAATCTGAAATCCACTTTCAACCCTTATCTCTGCTATTCTAAACCTTGCATATACCTACATCTCAAATGAGTACCACTATCAACAGGACCACCGCTACCATCAGTCCCTAAATTCTAAAATCTCAATCTAAGTTACAAAAGAAAAAAAATTAGTATTGTTAAATTTAAAAAATTTCACTAACTATATTAATATAACATTTCATCCCTCAAATATTGGAGTACCAATACATGCCCCGTATTTAAATCTTCAACTTACATCTTTAGATATTTCAAGTCAAGCTAAAATTAGTTTGTAATATGTTAGAATTATGTTTACCACATAATTAGTTATTCTATAAGTGAACCTTGTTTTTGTTTCCATTAAATATTTAATTGTGTGGTGCATTCCTATGCACAAGATTAGGCGTGTACGTATTATTTAATTACATGAAAAATATTAATATATTAAGGTTATTATGGTCATTTTATAGGGTCAAGGGAGGTAAGTGTAATATTAAAAATCTCAAGGGTACTAGATAACATTACCCCTATTGTAAAATCAATTGAAGATATATCGTTCCTATTCTAGAGGCACATGCTTGTGTATATGGCGAGTGTTAGGTGCAAAAGTTTAAGTATTATTTTTCCGTCCAAGCAACAAACAAGGGTCAAACACACGAGTGAGAGAAGGCATTTTGTACGCTAGCAAGCTAGAAAACATATGAAAGCAACGTGGCCCAAAAAAAAAAATGTTTTTTTTTGTAATACAGGACAAGATACGATGCAGTAGATACAAATGGAATGAGATCATTCAATCATCATAGTGACATGCGTATACAATATGATGTAATCCTCGTAGGCCACATGAAGTGGAAGTTTCCAGTCATGGCTATGCTGTATACATGGTACTGTGATACACTGTGCTGTTTGATAGCGTTTCTGTAACTTGTCTATGTGGCGCGTGCATCAGCTGCTCAGTTTGGTATCATCTGCTAAATAATTTTCTCATTTTGTATTATGTAAAAGGAGAGGCAAATCTACGTTAACTTGCATTACGTGAAACTTCGATATCTCTCCAAGTGCTTTTCGCGTTAGCTTTGAAAGCCATTCAATAGATCAGTAGTGTTTTTCAACAAATTGGACAAGAATTGATCAAATAAAAGAACTTCTACACTACAACGTAAGCAGTGGTGCAGTCTTGGACGAACTAATTAAGGTTTACATCATTCTATAATTTGAAGCGTTCAATTTCCTTGAGTACCAAAACTCTCTGCTTTAGCGAAAATTCTATCCCTATTTATTGCCTTCGATATTTATTACACTTGAAAATACTTGCAGATGCCCGCAGTTAAATGGTAAATTAGTATTCCAAAGTACATTTATCAACTCCAGATTGGATCATGTCGGGATTATACCAATTGCATTTTTGAATTTTATTCTGTTTCCAATTCTCTATATATATATATAGAGTATTATTAGAAAATTCAAAACTTTCTCTAGCTCTCTGATTTGGATGAGAATCTTCACGGAGTTGATATTTCATCCCTTTAATAACATTCTTTTGTCAAACTAGTTGACACCACTACTTTTCCTCTTCTTTTACTCATTCATTTGCAGGAGTTTGCCGCACTTATTTCAGAATTGCTTACGTTAGCTATTTTCCCTGTAAGTTGGTCATGTCATGCATTAGATAATAAAAAAAATATATATATATATATATATATATATTGGGTGTGGCAAGTTACTTTGGAGCTTCAAGAGGAGAAATTCGACAATTCTTTTGGGTATAAAGGTAATTTTATAATAATAATATATTAAATAATTAAAATTAAAATACTCGATAAGGCTCGTCGAGTCTTCGAGCATCGCTTCTAGATGCTCGAACTCGACTCGATAACCTTATCAAGTTGC